TTCCCAAGATATCCCCAATTCCTGGGCCTGTCAAGAAGTGACCTTCTTTACTTGCCTGTAGGCCAGGAGCCCCGCGTGCACACCAGGCTGGCGCGCCCCTTACCTCAGTCTGGTCCAGCGTCTCCTGTACCGCTTTCGAATACGACCTCCCCATCGAAGTCTTGGTGACATCACCATGAGTTTAATTACGTCCCACGACAAGGAGAACAGAGTCCTCCTGTATGTAGACACGCCGGCGTGGAAGTCGGTGTCTTTAATAACAGTTGCTGAGTTTCAGAGGAGTCAGGTGGGAAGAAGCGGTAAACGTCTCAGTCCTGCTTGTACAGGTGTGATTTCCCAGATGGGCCATGAACTACGGAGAGCTTGAGAGAAAAGAGAGATGAGATTTCTTTCTCCTCTCCTCTCCTCTCTTCTTTTCTTTTCTTTTCTTTTCTCTCCATGCAGGCAGAGAGTCTTGAGTAAGAGTGAGGGGAGTGACGGGGGCCTGGGGGACTCAGTCGAGTGAGGCGTCTGCCTTCGGCTCAAGTCATGATCCCAGGGTCCTGGGGTCGGACCCCGTGTCAGGCTCCCTGCTCAGCAGGGCATCTGAGAGAAACGGGATTCTTAAGTCTGGAGACCCAAACATCAGAGAACCAGCAACGCTTCAAACCAGAGGCGGTAGAAGAGGTCATCATCCTCATGAGGTCAGCCAGGGCTGCATAATTAAATCCAGTTTCCTGAAGCCACGAGCTTCTCCATTAGAGTTTTGGAAGGTCTCTGGCTCCGCAGCGTGATTTCAGAGTTACCAGAAACTTCTCCTCCAGGGTCCCCGCGGAAGCCTTTCCCGAGGACTTTCTGAATGAAGACGGAGGGCTCTGGTGTGCGCTCGACTGTAAGATGGTGATCGTCTCCAAACGGGGAGACACTGAAAGCAGCCGTGGTTCGAGATCTGACGAGAGTTTTTTGCAAAATGATGCGGCTGACAAGGGTATTTGGTTATTGCCGTGGCTGTGGCATTTATGACAATAACTGGAATTACCGGCGATTCCACAGACACTAGGGGCGTTGGCGGGCAAGCTTGGGCCACTCCGCGTAATTTCTGAAACCCGCGCATTAGGAGCACGTGTGCAGACGGCATGACGGAAGGGTTAGCGACGCTTCCCGTCTGACAGCTTCCGGGTAACCGAATGCGTCACGTAAGCCTAACTGGGTAATGTCTATATTTTTCTAAGGACAAATAACAAATCAATAACAAATCATAACAAATCAAAAAGACTGTTTTAAATTTGATTTGGGGAAGTTTGTAAAAATAGGCAGAAGTTTTAAAATATTTGATTAAATAAGATCACAGATCACAAGGCTTACTTACCAATTTAACCAAAGTGACAAAGACTTTAAAAGCAAATACAGGAAGTAACATGCTTGGGGGGAAAGACCACTTTGTTCTTCGCTGGCCGCTGGGAGGTCGGTGTTCGCGGCTGTGTGACAGGAGCCCGGGGAGCCAGGGCTGCCCGGCTGGGCCCAGGCAGTAGCCGTCAGAGCTCCCGGGCTCTTGGCTCGCCAGAAGCCGCCAAATGTGCCTCGTTGGCCGGAGGTGGAGACGCTTCGGAAGCTCCGGGCTTCTCCTCCCGCGACCTCGGTCAGGAGACCCCGGGGCTGGGGGTGGGGGGCGTCCGCTGCCGCTCTGGGTCTCTTGGGTGTGCAGCGCGGGGAGAGCCCGCAGGCTGTCCCCTGTCGCACAGTCTCAGAAATCCTGAGGAAGAGCGTGGGGAGCGGCGGGGACGAGCGGGTGACTGGGCTTCGATGGCTGTCGTCACAGCCCACCGAACACATTCAGATGATCACCGGGGGCCCCGGGGCCCTGCCGCTCCTCTGTCCGTCTGTGTCTCCTGGGACGGCCCCAGATCGGAGGCCGGGCTCGAGGTGAGAAGGGGATGCAGGACAGCCCGTGAAGCCCGGCGGTCTGTCGCCCGCTGGGAGAGCGCTTGGGCGGTCCCTCCTGCAGATGACTTTTGGGCTGTTTTGCGGAAATGAGAGGGTCGAGTCCAGAAAGCACATGGCTCTCGCACTAGTGGCCTCATGCATGGGAGGGGCTGGAAAGGCCTCGGGGGTGGCCTCACCTCCTCCCGGTCTCCGTCCAGCAGCCCCAGCAGCTGGGAAAGCGAGCAGAGCTGGGACACAATGTCCAGGGACACCGACCACCCTGCTCTGTACCCTACGGCTCCCAGGACAGTGGGCGGCCAGCCACGTTGGCTTCCTGGGGCCACACACCGAGGACCCTCCCTCTGGTCATCACATTTCCTCTTGCCGTAGACCTGCGTCCCCCAGCCAGTGTGGAAGCACCCCCTGCCACCGTGTGCAGGGGTTCGCGGGCGGGGTCTGTGGGAGGAGCTTGGGTTCGGGGTAGTAGCGAGCGGACGGGGGGGAAGGGGTGCAGATTCACGTCCGCCTCTGAGGGAAGGGGGGGCAGAGACCAGGCGGTCTCCGCACACACCTTGAGGACCGGCTGCGGGAGGACCGTGGGAGCAGACGCCATCTGTGAGCCATGGGGTCCTCGCCGACAACGGCTCTGCTGGCACCTTGCGCTTCCGCTCCCACCTCCAGACTGGGAGAGAGAACCGCCTGCTACTTAGGCCACGGGGTCTGCAGTGTTTGGGCAGCGCAGTGGAGCCCAGATGCCTTCTTGGGGCTCTCACCTCCCACTGCCTCCTGCTCATGAGGACCCTGCCGGGCAATCTGGGACGATCTCCCGGGAAAGTCACACATCACAGGGCACGGGGACTAGGATGTGGGTGTCCCGGGGGCCATCGTTCTGCTGAGCACGGTAGAGACACAGCTGTGGTCGGTGGACGGGGGGCACGACGAAGCCGTGGGGGACGTCGGACTGCCCACAGGCACCTGAGGGCTCCTGGACAGGGGTGTCTCTGCTGCGTGTGGCCGCAGTGGGCAGAACCGCCCCAGAGGGCTTTGGGGTGTGAGCTCTTCTCTCGCCTGTCCTCTCTGGTGGCCTCCTCAGCTCCGGCCGGCGTCCTGCCCCTCCGGGTCGGCAGGGGTCCCCACGGGTGTGATGTTCCCGCAGAGGAGCCACCGCCACAGTGGTCACTGCCCCTGTCCCCACCAGCAGGGTTCTGTCCATCCCAACGCCCCTTGGGGACCACATTTTCAGGGCTGTGCTCCTTTCAGAGAGCAGACACCCTGTCCCCCTGTTCACTTTGGGGGAGAGTCAGGGAGGACGGGAACTGCTCCCAGCCTTTGTCTGTGTGGGAAGGCCTGGGCGGCACGGAGAGGGCGGGACCTCGGCCGTGGCCTCCCTTCCCTGCCCCACTCTTCCCACCATCAGGAGCAGGGCTCCTGTGTCTGTCCCCCACCCCAGTCTGGGAAGAGCATCGAGGACGGGCTCAACTCGTAGCGTCAAGACCACGTGGGGGTCTTTGGAGGTACGAAGCGCCGCAGGTCTGGGGCCGGCCCGCGGGTCCCCAGGCTGCGAGCTTCCTGGCAGTCAGCCCAGCGCGAGGACGTTGTAGGCAGGGCTTTGCGGGGGCCTGGGTGGCCTGCACGGGTTCCCGGGCCGCTTTGAGATGGGAGCTGGCCAGGCTCAGAGCTCCATGTAGCTCCGCCTGACAGAACGCCCCCTCCACGCCGGCGGACGTCACGCCAGCAAGCTTTGCCTCCCTGGGGGCCGGCAGGGAGGTGTGTGGGTGTCGCCTTGGAAACTTCCTCTGCAGCTCACGAAGGTCCTGCACTGGGTGACGTGGGCGCTCGGCTGACGGCACTTGGTGATTGTGTCCAGCGCCCCACGGCCAATGGTCACCCACCACCGCCTGCCGGACACCCTCAGGGGAACAGAGCAGACGCCAGAGCGGCGGGGGCTGGGGGTGCCGCTTGCCCCATGCTCCAGCCGTCTCTGCCCGCGCCCAGCACTTCGTCTCCACACTGTGCGTTAAACAGCACGGCCTTGTGGTTCCTGCTGGGCTTTATAAAAATCGCCACACGTCATCAACAGCCTTTACAAATTCTGTTCCAGTGGCTGCGTGGTTTTTCGCAGAGCTCGCTTGCCCGTGTCCGTGAGGTTGTTGGAAGATAAGGTTGCTCGAAGTCTGTTCTAAGCAGTTTGCTCAACTGTGATGAACATTTCCTGGACAAAGCACCTTTGTTTCTTAGGATGTGTTCCCAGAGAGGGAACGTGGGCTTCCCCCAAGGACTGGATCCCACAGGTGTGGCCCGAGACTCTGAGGCTCACTGACACTTCTGGTCCAGGACACCTGCTTTTGGGTGCGGCGCCCGGGACAGTCTCCCACCCACCTGGAGGTCCAGAATCTTCCATTTCCTCTCCTTTCCCACCCCAGCCCACCCCTGGCTCTCGCAGCTTGGAGACCTGAAGCCCGAAGGCGTGTGGCCCCTCGCAGGTGGCTTTGGTCACCTGTCCATGAGCGGCCTCCCTACGACTTGTATGGGGGACGTGGCATTGCCCCTCCACCCCCAGCCTATGATTTTGTACATTAGCCCCGCTTCCTTTGGAGACCTTGGTCCCTGGTTCTGACGGATGCCCCTGGCCGCTCGGGCTTGCCCCAGCTGAGTCGGGGCTGCTTCTTGGGTCTCTCTGTCCCACACGTGTAAACGCTGCCACCGATAGCACTGGCCGGCTGTATCATCCAGTGCCCAGGGGGACTGGCATGTGAGAGCCGTGTAGGATCCTGTTGTCACAGGAGGGTCCCTGTCGCCACGGGGATGGTGGCCCAGGGTTGATGAGGACAGCAGCTCTCGTACATGGGGTCTTCCCAGTGTAGGTCTGTGTCTGAGGGGTCTTCCTCAACCTCCCCCAGCAGCCCTCCAAGTCAGCAGCTGCCCCGAGCACCGGGAAGGGGTGCTGGTCACCCGTGGGGAGAGGCCTGGCCCAGGAGCCATGCTCTTGGCTGGGTCCTGCCCCACCAAAGACATCCCATCCTTTCTGGGTTGCATCTGGGGTGGGTGGGCGGGGTAGGGGTGGCGGCACGGACACGGGCGTCGCGTCCGTCCTCCAGGTGTGCATCGTGCAGAAGCGGGACACCGAGAAGATGTACGCCATGAAGTACGTCAACAAGCAGCGGTGCGTTGAGCGAGACGAGGTGCGCAACGTGTTCCGGGAGCTGGAGATCCTGCAGGAGATCGAGCACGTCTTCCTGGTGAACCTGTGGTGGGTGACCCGCTGCCACCCTCCCCTGACCCCAGGGCCCTTCCCTGCGCTTTCCTCCCCTGTCCTGGGGACTCTGCATGCACTCAGCTTCCCTGTCCTGGGGCCAGAGCTGTCCAGGCATGCGGGTCTCCCCACAGGAGGGCCAGGCTTTCCCGCCAAGGGGCCTGTGGCCCATGGAGTCGCTGGCGCTAGAGTCAGGGGGGAGAGTTCTGGGGGCCTGAGCTCCTCCATAAAATGGGCGCCAATACCAGCTCCAGGATGGGAAGGAGCCTGTAAGCGGCAGTGAGATCACCGTCCTTTCTCCCGCGTGGGGTCCTGCTGCACAAGGGTGCCTCCCCACGCGGGGTCCTTCCTGAGTCCTCTCTGACAGCTCCCAGCCTGATGGGCTTACAGACTGGACCGAGTTCCCGAGGGCCCTGTGGGCACAGGCGCTCAGGTGGCTGGGAGGGCGTGCACAGACGGATTTCTGGTCCTAGTAGCGCCACCTCGGGACGATCGAGCCGAGGGTCCCTCAGCTGACCATGGGGGGAGAAGTGGCCCCACCAGCATCTGGGACAGAAGTGTGGGACAGGGCATTGTTGAGAGTGACGTGGCGCTAGCTTCTCCAGGGGACACACTCAGGGCTGAAGACCCCCCATGGGTCATTCCTCTGGAGCCTTCGCAGGTGTGAGAGGTCCTTCAGCATGGCCAGCAGCCCGAGTCAGATCCCGGGGTCCTGCCTGCGTGTAACCAGGAGACAGGAGCTGGCCGTGCCACAGGGGATGTCACCTTGCCCGGGTACTAGTGGGAACAGAGTGGGATGCCAGGCCGGCAGGGCAGTGGAGCCTGGGGCTGCCCAGGCCTCCTCCAACTGCCCACCCCTGCACGTGGGCCCGTCCTCCCTCGCTGTGACCGCAGAGCCCTGTGACCGTCTGGTCCCCGTGCTAGCAGAGGGGATGGCGGGCCCTGCTCCTGGGGAGTGCCTGTGGGAGGTTGGGGGTGCCCAGGCCCCTAGATGGGGGGTCATGGAGTGCGGCGGGCGCTGTGACCCCAGCTCGCTTGCCACGTGCCACGCTCCCGCGCGGCACCCGCAGGTTCTCCTTCCAGGATGAGGAGGACATGTTCATGGTGGTGGACCTACTCCTGGGCGGGGACCTGCGCTACCACCTGCAACAGAACGTGCAGTTCTCGGAGGACACGGTGAGGCTGTACATCTGCGAGATGGCGCTGGCCCTCGACTACCTGCGCGGTCAGCACATCATCCACAGGTGTGTGCCCGGGGGGTCGTCCCCCCGCCCGCCTTTGGGGTGGCTGCTCCTTTGGGGTGACAGGCTCCTGCACGGTCTGCCCGGCCCCTGGCCTCCAGACCTGCCCCCAGGTGTGGCTCCTGAGCCCTCAGCACCGGGCCCCAAGCCAGCTCCACAGCTGTGCACCTGCTGCCCCCGGGGCTGGCTTCCATGCGAGCAGCCCCAGGTGGGCTGGGATCGGGGTCCCCTTCAGCTGGTCCGTGCAGCTGCTGGGTCCCGGCCACCGCCTAGCAGAGGCCGTTTGCTCACCGGCCATGCCCCCGGGGGATTGAACAGATTTTAGCGGGAAGCAGATCAGGCGGATGAAGACGGCGTGTTAGAAAGTCAGGTAGATGGGGTCTCTGCGCTCCTGCCCCGGAGGACTGTTACCCGGTTACCATCCAGGCGCAGACGCTGACTGAGCTCCTAGACTCAGGCCCGCGGAGGCCCGAGGCCAGCCGGCGGGAGGCATAGACCCAAATCACCAGTTCTGTGCTGCCCCAGGGCTCTGGAAGAGGGGCCGGCCCCGGGGTCCGGTGAGTGGGCCTGGCCTCCGTCCTCCGGGGCTGCGGCACCCCCGCGTCGGGTGCACTCGCCTCTGTCCGTTCAGTCACAGCAGCTGTGGCTGGAGGTGCCCCGGCCCCAGGCCCAGAATAGCTAGTGTCACCTGGCTCCGTCACGGTGCTGCCAGGGGCGCCTGCCTTGAGTGGGGAGGGGCCCGAGGGACCCCCTGCCCCACCGGGGACTGCAAGGCACGAACAAGGCACGAACTGTCGCCCCGTTTCCTGCTCCCTCAACAGAGACGTCAAACCCGACAACATCCTGCTGGACGAGCAAGGTGAGCCAAGGCCGTGCGAGGCCAGGCACGGGGCGGGGTGGGGGTCTCGCCCACGGGATGCGTCTCCCGTCCTTGGGACATTCTCATCGTCTTCTCTGCTCGCAGGGCATGCGCACCTGACCGACTTCAACATCGCCACCATCATAAAGGATGGGGAGCGGGCCACTGCGCTAGCCGGGACCAAGCCGTACATGGGTGAGCCACGGCCACTGGCCTGCCGTGTCTGGCCCCGGCGGGGGGACGGGGTGGGGGTCGCTCGGGTCACTTCCCTGCAGGCACGGGGCTGTGTGGGACGGGGCACAGGAGGATCCGACCGCCCACACCAGGGGGAGGAGGGACCCCCAGGCGGGCAGTGGGGAGGGGGCCCGGGGCTGTGGGTTCAGGGGCGCTCAGCTGCTTCTCCCTCCTGGAAAGCTCCGGAAATCTTCCAGTCCTTCGTCAGCGGTGGGAGCGGCTACTCCTTCGAGGTGGACTGGTGGTCAGTGGGGGTGCTGGCCTACGAGCTGCTGCGTGGATGGGTACGGAGCAGGCTGTGTCCCCCAGGGGTGGCCCGAGCCCTCGGGGAAGGATGAGGCTGCCCCCCCATCCCCAAGGGTGCTCAGCGTCTGCGTGGAGAGACACTGAGCAGGTGCAGGAGGGCAGAGACCTGTTAGAGGGGCAGCTGTCTTGGGACACTCCTGTGGGGGTCTCTGTGGAGGGTCCCTATGCTCTCACTCTGGTGTCCCCTCCTGGGGACCTCCGGGACCCCCTCCCTGGAGGACGGCAGCCCGTCCTGGCCTCGGGGCCGAGCCACCTGGGCCCAGACCTCTCGGGGGTGATGTGCTTCTTCCTGGGCCCCGGGCTCCCCTGGGAGCTGCACCCGTGTGGTGGGGGAGGGGTGGGCGAGTGGCAGGTGCCTCTGGCTGTGGGGTGAGGCACTCGGTGCAGCGCTGCCTCCCCCGCCCCAGAGGCCCTACGACATCCACTCCAGCAACGCCGCGGAGTCCCTGGTGCAGCTGTTCAGCACGGCGAGCGTGCAGTACGTCCCCAGCTGGTCCAAGGAGATGGTGGGCCTGCTGCGCAAGGTGAGCCCCTCCACCCAAGGCGGGCCGTGAGCACCCTGAGAAGACCCAGCCCCCAGGGCGCCTCAAATGGCCTGAGCACGCGGCTGTAGCAGCCCAGGGGACACAGCCCAGGGGACCGGGTCAGGGCTGCTCTCCACACCTCTATCTGGGGTCCGGGGCTGGGCTGGCCCCACCGCTCTCCGCTCAGGAAGCCCCACTTGGAGCACACTGGTGCCTGTGGGGTCAGGACGGGGTGTGGGAGAGCTTGCTCGACACACAAGGCCCAGCTGGCTCCTGGCTCCTGGCCCGTAGGGCTCTTCTCTGCATGCACTCACCCCTGCTGGACACTTCACTCCTGCAATGATAGCCAAGCAGCCAGAGGCTTCTCCCGGTCCCTGGGGGGCTGTCCACCCAGTCTGTACTGACCACTCTGCCCAGGGGCCTCTCATAGTGAGACCTTGGCCCCCAGAGACCCAAACAGGGAGTGGGGACAATCCGTACGTCAAGCTTCACACCGTGGGGAAGCCTCAGGTAGGGTCTGCCACATTTTCTGTAAGAGGAAGGACAGCATGTGGGGGGCACGTAGCCTCCGTGACCTGGCCACACAGGGCGCCCTGGGGCTCCCTTGGGGCCTGTCCAGGTCCTTATTGTGGCCCTCCTTGCCACTAGCCAGGCCGAGGCTGCCGCCTGCTGGTGAATTGTGGTAGATGGTCCCCGGGCACCCCACCTTGACCAGGCTGTCCCGTTGGCCGTGATACTGCACTGACCCGAGGTCGGGTCCGTCCTTGCCTGGCCCTTGAGGTCCTTGCGGCGAGAGCTCCCTGGAGTTCCCTGGCCCGGAGCAGGTGGTCAGCTGTGGGCACCGGGTCGTGGGGGCCCGGGCACCGTCTCACGTGGGCCCCGTTCCAGCTCCTCACGGTGGACCCCAAGCACCGAGCATCCAGCTTACAGGACATGCAGGCGGCCCCGTCCCTGGCCGGCGTGCTGTGGCAAGACCTGAGCGAGAAGAAGGTGGCGCCAGGCTTCGTGCCCAACGTAAGCCAGGGAGGCAGTGGGCGCTGGCTCTGGGAGGGCGTGGGCGCCCCGCTGGCCAGGCTCAGCTCCCCATCCCCACACAGAAAGGCCGCCTTCACTGTGACCCCACCTTCGAGCTGGAGGAGATGATCCTGGAGTCCAGGCCCCTGCACAAGAAGAAGAAGCGGCTGGCCAAGAACCGGTCCCGGGACAGCAGCCGGGACAGCTCGCAGTCGGTGAGGGACGCGCCCCACCCCCCCAAGGCCTGCTCATCGTCCTCCTGTGCAGATGGGGTCCCTGCTGCTCCGTCCTGCCCCTGGCTGTGGGGCTCCGGGGCTGGAGACCCATCATGCCCAGCTCTGCCCCCGGGGTCTCCCACACTTGCCTTGTGTGTGCCTCCTCTTACAGGGACACCCTAACCCCAGATGACCCTCTCCTAACCTGACTCTGTCACATTCCAGGGAGCTGAAGGGTAGGATGTCACTCTCGAGGGGTGGGAAACAGAGTAACCCACAGTAGCTCCGTTCCTGCCCCGGGAGTGTGGGGGCGCCCCTGGGGAGCTCGCGCTGTGAGCGTGGGACCAGCCTTGCCCCGTCCCCCGGGTATAGCTGGTCCTCAGAAGAGCACGTGAGGGTACAGAGGTGGATGGCCCGGGTCACAGCAGTGACCCTGTATGGCACCGGTGCCGCCCCACTCCTGGACCCGTCTGAGCCGGCAGAGGCCCCCCGCCCCAGCGCCACCCCCTCACACCTGCTCCCCGGCACAGGGGCGAGTCGAGGCGGGGAGTGGGCATGGGGCCCGGCTGCTGGTGGCGGCCCCTGGTGAGCGGAGCTGGAATTGCGGGTGCGGCCCCGCCCACTGGCTGTTCTGCTCTGGGTGCCGGGGAGAGGACCTGGAGCCCCTCACTCCTCCGTCCTGCTGGGATTGCTGGGAGTCCTACCGTTCCGAGGCCAGGGGCCCACCAGGGAGGCCGCAAGCGTTGCGCGCTGTGGGTTTTCTCTTTCTCGTGGGAGGGGTCGTTCTCGGACGCGCTGGACTCTGAACCGCGGTGTGTCCACTCCTCTCTCGTTCCTGCTTCTGGCGCCTCACCCGAGAAACCGCCGCCTGACGAAGGCCACTGAGGTCCAGTCCTGCGGCTTCTTCTGAGTGTTGGCCCGTCTCACCTCTAGGGTCCGTTTTCGGGGGGGTTTGCGGAGAGCGTCAGGTCGGGGTCCGGGGTCGACCTTCGGCACGTGGACGCACGCGTTGGACAGACCGTTCCTTTCTCGTCGAATGGCTTGGCGTCGACTTCAAACGTCAGTCCTCCAAAAATAAGGGCTTATTCACGGACTCACGATCCCATCCCTTGATGTGTGGGTCTCCCTCGTCCGCCCGGTGCCTGCCCCAGCTGTCCGATGACCACAGCTTTGGCGTCCGCTTCGAGATCAGGGACCGTGAGTCCCGCTCTTTGTCCTCTTTCAAGGTCGCTTGGTGGCTCTAGGTCTCTCGCATTTCCGGTGAATTCCCAGAGGCTTGGGAAGTATGTCTGCTCAGCGGGTCTGTTTTTGGCTGGAAGTGGAGCCAGTCTCGCAGGCCCCTGCCACTCCACACCAGGGGTGACAGCTGTCAGTGTCAGCATTGCCCACATACGTGTGCCCGCAGACGAGGATTCACGCGAAGGGTTTACTCAGGAAATACGCCCGGGGTGGTTGGTGTCAGAGTCCCGAGGACAGCGGCCTTCATCTCCCACCCCCCGCAGCCCTCAGCTAAGGGGCAGGAGGGCTGTACGTTTCTGTGGTCTTGTGACTCGTGTGCGTGTGCGTGTGTTGGCCGAGAGCAGGACGGTCACACGGACACAGCACAGGGCTTCCTGCGGACAGGCGCCCCACAGCTGCGGAATGGGGGTCCTCTGTGCACCCTGTGGTGTGTGAGGCCCTCCTTGGCACCACCCGCTCCCATGGTGCCCTGGATTGTTCTGGAACCAGTCCTCAGGCTTCCTGGGAAAACCGAGAGGAGCACGGTGAGCTGGATGGACCACAACCCTGGCCGCTCCACGTCCTCTGTGTCCCTTCATGTACCGCCTCACCCTCACTTGCCCCTCTGGGGGTCTGCATGTTGGCGGCTCCCCTCCTGGTGTGACGCGGACCCTTGCCCAGAGAGCTCAGAGCCCCTGGCCTCATCGCTTCTCAGGTGGGAGCGCGGACTCTTGTCCGTTCATTATCGGCACAAAGTCGGGGAAGGCTAAGATGCATTCTCAGAAGCCTAGAAGCCCTGTCTCGTCCTGATGGCGGAGGCCGGCCACTCAGCCAGGGTGCCGACTCCTCTGGGAGGCCACGGTGGCAGGGCAGTCACCGGCAAGGTCAGAGCTGTACACGCCAAGGGCTGGCCTCATCTTCAGTGGGCACTGACCCGCTGGTGGGAGGAGCTTCTGGGCTTGGGGTGCCCAGAGCCCACGTGGGACCGGGCACAGTTCACTGGATCCCCCCACCGCAGACGGGTGTGGACAAGGACATCTGGAGGACGTGCCACTTTCTGCTCCTCTCATGTAGTTTCGTCATGGTCAGCGTGGTGCAGGACCGCGAATGTCAGACAAGCGAGGCTCTTTCTGGCTCTAAGCCCAGCCTTGGGCCAAGACCACAGAAGTGCCACCGACCACCTCGGGTGACTGCAGAGCGGTCCTCGTGCTTCCTGTGGGGGGCATGGAGAGGACGCCTCTGTCAACCCAGAGGCTGTGTGACACACCCAGAGCTATTCGTGACTGTGCCGCTGGCTCAGCCGCTGCGCCCAGAGCTGCCACGACCCAGGGGCCGGGCTTGCCAAGGGAGCAGGAGGAGAATGGGAAGCAGCATCCCTGTGCCCTGAATGTTCGAAGACAGAGGTACAGACTTCACGTCGTGGATGGGGACACTCGTCACTGCCCACGCGGGCTGTGATTTATTTGGAACCCAGGCTGCTTTGTTGGGACAGGGTCAAGACCTTCTCCGGCTCCTCCACCATAACCCGGGATGGCCACGAGGGCTCTACCAGATGCCATAGGAGGGCGTCTTGTTCATGCCCTTGGTGGCTGGCAGTGGACGCAACAGCCACTGGGTGGGGCTGGGGTCGCTGCTCATGAGGTGGGCGTGGCCAGGCGTCTGCTCAGATCTCGAGTCCAACAGACGGGCGAAGGCGGTCCCCCTTCCCCAGGTGTGCTCAGGAGAGCAGTCACAGCTGTGTTTGGGAAATGATGGTGGTTTCCTATCATCCTGATGACAGCTTGCTGCTCTTGTACCCTTGGTCTCCCTGCGCGCATGTGCACGTGTGTGCGAATGTGTGTGCACGTGTGTGTGTGTGTGCACGTGCTGCTCTTGTACCCTTGGTCTCCCTGCGTGTGTGCACGTGTGCGCGTGTGTCTGAGTGCTCACTGTCCACCTCTTTGAGCGTTAGGAGCACTGTCTGTGGCACGTAAGATGTCACTAGACCCCGGGCCTCGAGGTGACCTGCTCGTCACAACCTCACCACCTGTGACCATGGTCACTCCCACCTGGTTAGGTGTGGCTACGTTACGTCCAGGCTTCTGTCGTTCTGGCATGCCGTCGTCACCGTGGACGGCAGGGAGCGCCGTTCTAGAAAACAGGCAGCGCAGAGCTGCTCCGTGATGCCCCGGCCCTTGCCAGCTCATTCCTTAGCTCCTCTTGAGCCTCCAAGAGAGGATGGTCATCCGAAGGTCCTTGGTTCTTGACTCTTGAGTCTGTCGACCCCAGACGGACTCTAGCTGTCCTCTTCTCTTGAGATTTTTCCCCTTGGCACTGGCCCCGGCTGTTCTGGAATCCTCACTGGGCTGTCATGTCTCCTATGATTCCAGGAGCCACCCTGCAGCATACTAGACCCTGCTCCAGGGGTCTTGACAGAGAATGAGCTCGCCGGGCATGGAAGGATGCCCCATGCGGCCGCATAGCCCACGCCCCGCCCTCACACTGCCCTCCGGCGCTCACCCAGCATGTCCTACCGAGGCAGGGAGCGCCTTTCCGACCTTAGCAGGTTCTGCACCGGCTGTGCTGCTGGCGACTGTGCCATTCTGAGGCCGGGAGGGTAGGTGGAGGCAGATCTGGGAGGAGCTGCTCTGTGCCACCTGCAGGAGCCTGAGTGGGGGTCCCTCTTGCAGGCTCACAGGACTAATGTGTCCTCCTGTATACACTCAGAGGCCCTCCCAGGTTCTGGGGTCCAGCTCCTTCCTTCCCACGGCCTTGGCTTTGGCGCCGGGAGGGGAGGGAGCTAAGCCAGGTGTGGTTTCTGGCCAAGCTGTGCTGCAGACCCTGCCTCCGTGTCTGCATCCGCTCCAAGGCAGGAGCTTCCATCCTGGGCATCCTTTGGCCCCTGGCTAAGGGTCACTCAGGAGACACAAACCCCCAGATGCTATGGCTGCTGGGACAGAGTTTCTCCAGCAGCCCAAAAGATCTCCAAAGAAAGCCACAGGTGCAGGCCACAGGAGGAGAGGTGGGGCGGGAGGCATGCTCCGGAGCCCACCCACGGGGATGTGAGAGCCTCAGAGTGTCCACTACACTCATCGGTATGTTTTTCTGACTAATAGGAGAATGACTACCTTCAGGACTGCCTTGATGCGATCCAGCAAGACTTTGTGATTTTTAACAGAGAAAAGTGAGTGTGTGTTGGGGTCGGGGGGAGCAGCAGGCCGAGAGGGATTTGAGGCTCTCTGGGCCACACAAGTCCTGAGCCCCAGCAGCCCTGAGGCAGCAGGGGGCTGGGAAGTGGACAGCCACTATCCTAAGGCATCTGGGCAGCAGCCCTGGGGGCAGAGCGTCAAAGTCCCCAGTTCAGGCTTGTGTGGGAGGGCTCCTTGGGAACTTTCAGTTCTAAACAGGGGCTTAACAGCCAGAATCTCCTGGGGAGACACTCGGTGCACTGCTCAGACAGGCCGGTGGCTCGGGGCCCTGCGGAGTCCCATGGACTGCTACCTGCTATGCATTCATAAAGCCTTACTGAGTGCCGGGGGCTGTGGGTCAGGGAGATTAAGACAAGCCACAAACTGCTGACACACCTGCTGCAGGGGAGGGACAAAGCCTGGCCCCGTGGGCTCAGGAGAGGAGGGGCAAGGAGGGCATGGAGGGCTTCCTGGAGGAGGCAGCTCTGAGCTCTCTCCTGCCTCAGTGAGCAGGACAATGTGTGGGCACTGGTTTAAGGCACTGGATTCTATCGCGGAGGTCAGAGGCCTGAGTTAGAACAGACTCAGCCAAGCTCTCTGCAAAGCTTTGTTCCAAAAGAGCTGACCCACCAGAATGCACGTACACCAGGTGTTCTCAGCTCTGCTCAGCAGCCCACTGCACGAGCCTGAGGCCACCATGGTCACACAGGGCGCTGCTGGGCTGGGCGTTGCTCTCTGTTGTCCGCAGCGCCCGCAGGGGCACCAGGTCCAGCCATGTTCCCAAGGGACCCATTCTGCCAGTCCTCGGACAAGCGGGGGCTGGCCACAAGTGCCCTAGGGCTGCTGGGGAGGCTGCAGAGAGCCCCTCATTGTGTTTCCCCCCCAGGCTGAAGAGGAGCCAGGACCCCGCGAGCGAGCCCCTGCCTGCCCCCGAGTCTGGGGATGCTGTGGAGGACCGGGAGGGCGTGCGCCCTGTGCTGCCCATGTGTGGCTCCCTCTGTCCCTCCCGCCTTAGTGAGACTTAATGCCAGCTGCTTCGGATACTCAGTCTGCCGGGACGATAGGACAGGCGGCGGGCAGTGGCCCCACGTGGACGTTCCCAACCAGGCAGCCCCGCTCTCCTGGCACAGAGCCGGCTGGCGGCCCTGTTGCTCCCTGGTCCAGATTTCCCCGGAGCCCGTGTGCTGGCTCTCGGGGGCACAGGGCACGTGGAGGCTATCAGTGTGGCTGCGGGCTGCGCGAGGAGGCTGAGTGCCCCCCTCCCCGGAGGCTCTGTTCCCTGCAGCTGTGGCCTGTGGCCTCTCCTGGTGGCCCCCTGACCCACTCCCCTGACCCACTCCCCCTGGTGGGCACCAGCCCTGCAGTGGGCGTTGGACACCATGCGCGGGCCACCAGGGCCCACTCAGGCTTGCGCGTCCGGGGGGAGGTGAAGAGTGTTTTTATAGATACTCCTGCCGTGTTTCTGTAGATTTCTCACCTCTGAGCATCACGACATAAGAGCCATTGTGGTGTCTGTGTGGTGTGTGTTGCGTGCCCATGGCTGTGGGTCTGTCCAAGATCTATCCACAGGCTGAGCGGCTCCCCCAGTCCCGCAGCTGCAATGGGGGCACCCTGGGGGCACAGGGCCTGCCCCAGAACCAGAACCAGCACCGCAGGTCATGTGAGGGCCTGGCAGGGCCAGGCTGAGGAGGCAGGCTCCCAGCCCTACTCGCCAAGGGCCGGGCAGTGAGACACACAACCTCACGTGCTCACACGGGGACACAGGGCTCCGGTCAGCAGCAGGAAGCCTGGGTCCAGAGGTGGCCAGCTGCAGGATGCCCTGTGGGGGTACCAAGCTCCCAGGAGGTTCTAGGTGGAGACCTGGTGATGTCGGAGACTCGAGCAGGAGAAGAGGTTTAAGGTTTTGTAAAAATATGTGAATCTTGAGCACACAGGTGGCCCCATTGGTTAAGTTCAGGTCTCGATCTCAGGGTCTTGAGTTTAAGACTGTTTCCTGCGTTGGCGGCTGGGAGGTGGGTGTGGCCTGGCTCCGTGACCATCTCTCTCACCGGTACCTGAACACGGGCCCCAGCAGAGCCCCAGAAACCTGGCTGGGAGGCTGCACTGACCCTGGGCCGGCAGGAACACGGAGACCACCAGGTTGGACCTCTCCAGAGGCCGGCCTGGACCATGGCGGCCCCACCAGAAGCCCAGATTCGAGGGTGGGGCTGTCTGTGTCCCCCCGGAGGACGCAACTGGTCAGCACCGGGCACGGACGCCGGCGCGCCCAGCAGTGTGAGGGGTGGGGGACCATCCCTGACGGCCAAGCTCCCTTTTCTGGCGATCACGCACACCCTGTTCCTAAGGTAAAGACGCCCTTCTGGGAACATCCCACACTCGGAGGTAGAACTGGGACCATTTCTTCGAAGCAGGAGAGCCCAGCTCAGTCCAGCCATTACTCCTCCTGAGTCAGAACCTGGGGCGGGGTGGGTGGCTGGGCATGGACCCCCAGCCAGGGCCACAGCCTCCCGGCCCAAGTGGTCGGAATGTGGGTTCAGGTCTCCAGCCCAACCGTCTCCCTCAGAGCTCCTGGCCGTGGGTCATGCCAGCATCCCTCTGTCTGGCTGCGCTTGGATCCAGCAGGCCTGGATTCGGGCGTGGCTCCCAGGCCCCCTTCTCAAGGAAGAAGGGCGCCTGCCCCTTCCCTGCCCAGAGGCGGAACGGAGCTGTCCCCGGGGGTGGGCGGCACGGCCAGCACGAATGTTCCCGAAGGGCCTGCGTGGAAAGCACCAGCGGGAAGTGAAGTCAGGGTTCCACACACCAGCAGCTTCTAACCCAGACGCCTTTATTCGCCCCGATTCCTGGGGGTGAGGGGCGCAGGCTGCCGTCTGGGCTGCGCGTGGCATGCAGCTTCCTGGCTACAATTGTCCTCGATGCACAAAACGGCTGCTCTAGTCGACTACTGTGACGTACACTCAGTGGTGAAGGGACAGCATCTCAGCTAAATGACCCTAAGCCCCGGAAACAGGCGACTACGTGGGCGAGTTTGGTCCCTGGTAACGTGTACAAACGAGGCCGCCCTTCGCTAAGTGTCCAGTGCGTCCCTGAAGTCTCAGCAGCTCTGGGGCAGGGGCCGGCTCGCCGGGGGCTCCCCCACGCAGGTCAGACAGGGAGAGGAGCTGGCAGGAGGCCTGGGGCTTCGCAGGGCAGTGATCCCCCATGGGGAGGGGGAGCCAACGGCCTGAACCTGTGGCCTGGCCTGCTGTCTGTGAGGCCCCGGGGGATCCTGCGGGCCTGGCTGGGCGGCCGCCCTGCCTCATGGAGCTCCTGGCTGTCCCCCGGGGCCACCATCTCCAGCCTTCTCAACCTGGCAGTGAGACCCCTTTTCCTTGTGTGGGCTCCTCCTACAGGACCCGGGACCCCAGAAGGGGTGTTTCTGGGGCAGGGGAGGTGAGGCTAAGCACTTTTCAGGTAAACTCAGCAAAGGGACAGCTACGTGAGGTAAGCGGCCCCCACCAGCCGCTGCCCGGCGGGACACCAGCGACTCGCTGGGCCGCACGGGGACGCCTAGGACAGCGAGGTGATGTTGGAACGGCCGCCAGGAGGTGCCATGATCTTCTGGGCCGTGCGGCGGGCAATGTGGTCATCAGCCTGAGAACCTGGAGAAGAGGCGGTGTGAGGACGGCCCGGCTGCCCTGGCTGCACCTGGGACCTCAGCCGAGGCCACCATGCCCCATCACCCACAGTGTGGACAGCCCAGCGCGTGGACGAGGGGACCAGCCGGTGCCCCCACGCTGAGGCCGGGGTGCCCAGGAAGTGCGACCGGGGGCCAAGCCTGTTCATCCTGCCGTGGGTCTCAGTCCCGTGCTGGAGAAAGCTGCCCCCAGCTCTTAAGCTGTCCCCGGGGTTTCCAGGGGGAACTGCCCAGGCCCTGTGTGTCCAGGAGGCAAGCAGGGACTCTGTCACCTGAGGGCAGTCAGGCTGGGACATCGGGGGTGGCAAGGGGGAGGGTCAAGCTCCGGTTTGTGGGGAGAACCTAGGGCTCAGGGCCTTTGCAGGAACCCACCACACAGCATGCCCGACCAGAGGCTCCAAGCAGCAGCCGGTGCACCAAGCCACCTGAGCCTCGAAAAGTGTCCCCATGTATCCCCAGGCTCACAGACTCCTTCCTAATGTGCATCCCATATCACCCTGAGGGTGGAGGGGCCGGACCCCAAGTGGCACTCAGGTTGCCACATTGGATCCCACGCTCACCCCTGGGCTCAGAGGGACAGCGGTCTCCTCAGCATGGCTAATGCAAGGAGGGGGTCGCTGGGGCTGTGCTGGGGCGGACGCTGGCGCAGGACGGGGTTTCCCCACAGGTCCACACCCTGGGCCCCCAGAGGGCAGGCGGAAGCATGTTCTGCCCCCAGGCCCCACACTGCCTGGTCTGCGGCCTTGCTGAGTTCACCTGCAAACAGGCTGGGCCCTGGTACCTATAACCCCGGGGCTCCTCCCGCACCCAGGATGCACCAGCACAGCACCCCCAGCTCCACTCACCAGACAGGCTGAACCCCGACCGGTGCAGGTTGCGCACGGGTGGGACCGAGATCTTCCCTGGGCAAGACGCTCGGGCCTGGGCACTGCCCCCCGGCTTGGCGGGCACCATCACCTCGTGGACGGGCCCATCGTAGAGGCCTCGGGGCACACCGTGGATCTCTGCCAGCTGCGGGGCCGGGGCGGGTGGGGGTGAGGGGGGCTGAGCCTGCTCCGCCCCACGGACCCCCCTTAGCAGGGCTCCAGACCCCGGACCCCGCCTGTGGAAGTGCCCCCCTCGCGTCCACCTCCACACTTGCACGCGCATGGCTCTCTGCGCACACACGTGCACGCAGCCCCTCCTGGCCCTGGGGCTGGGCAGCTGGGCCCTGGGCTGCAGGACACTCCTCAGACAGGGCGGCCCTGAGCGGGCAGCCGCTTCTGACAACAGGATGTCAGCCCTGACAGCCCCCCCTCCTCACTTCTGAGGCCCCATCCGAGCACCCCCTCCAGCCTGGAGGAGGCCCTGGGCCTCCCTGAAAACGGCCCAAGGCCAGAGACATTTCCCCGCCGCAGCAACGGATGTGCCCCCTTGCACATGTGGCCCTCGGGACTCATGTTCAGACTCGTGATGGCGGCCAGCCTTGAGGGGTCACCACGGGGTGGTGGCTCAGGTCAAGTGGACCAGCATGAGGCTTTGAGTCCACCCTCCCCCCATCACCCCAGGTGAGGGCCTGGGAGCCCCTCAGCAATCCGAGTGCCAGCGCTGCCTGGGGCTGGGTCTTCGGCTGGCACCCATCAGGGCGCCCGCATGTGTCCCGGGCCCCCCACCCCACTGAGCGGGAGAGAATGGGGGTGCCCAGCTTCTGGCCCGGACTCTGCACCTCCACCAGCTGCAGGGCTGTCCCAAGGTCCTTCCTGCGGGGTGGGGGGGGCAGCTGCGCAGCCCTCACATCCGGAGACCGCCAGGCAGGTGCGTCATCGCAAGTTAGAGTGGATTCCACTATCCTTCCTCCCCTAAGGAGACCACTGTTCCCGCCCCCAGCCCACCCTGGAGGCTGGCCCTCCTCGCTGTGGGTTCAGACAACATCCTTCTACAAAACGGGGTAAAGCAGAAATGTGTGTACCACGTGCACGTGTGTGTGCGTGTGAGCCACCAGTGCGTGCACGCGTGTGTGCGTGTGAGCCACCAGTGCGTGCACGTGTGTGTGCGCATGAGCCACCAGTGCACGCCCTGGGGCCTAGACAGACGCGGGGGCACCTGACAGCGGCGGTGGCCAGCTCAGCCCGGGGCGTGCGAAAAGCGCTCACAGCGTCTAAGCTCATAAACGCTGCTGCAGAACCTGCGCGTCCCCGCGTATTTACTCACACGCACGTCTGCCCACCAGGACGCGCTCGGGGACGCGCAAGGGGCCAGGCTGCCTTTCCCGCGGTCTCGGCAGCTGTCCTGGGGCGGCGGCCCCTGCAGACACCGCAGCGCAGCCGCTGCCCAGCCCCCGTCCACCGCGCGGCCCGACGGCCCCCAGGCCCGGAGCACTGCCGCCCCCGCCCCCGAGGAAAAGCCTCGCAGAACGCCACGCCTCCCCGCCGGGTCCGCCCCGACCCCGCCCTGTCCCCCCAACCCGACCCCCACCCGGTCCTCACCCCGACCCCGCCCGGCGCGGGCCTTACCCGGTTGCGCGCCTTGATCCGCTTATAGACGAAGTCGGGGAACGTCTTGCGGGGGATGAAGCGGCCAGCCCCGGGGGTGACGAGCAGGTTCCCGTCCTCCAGCACCACCCTGCCCTGACTGACGACCACCGCGGGGGCTCCTCGGCACTCGAGGCCTTCAAAAATGTTGTACTCCACGTTCTGGGGAGACAGGGGGAGGGTCGGGCTCCCAGCGCTGTGGCCCCCTCACCCCTCAACGCGCTGCGGGCAGGCAGCATCCTCAGAGGCTGGTGCACCTGCTCTAGGAGCCCCGACAAGGCCGGGCCACCTTGGCGGGGCGGGAGTTCAGAAGGAACTGCCCACAGCCGGCTCTTCCGGCCCCTGAATCCCGTTCTCGGGACAGAGGGCAGCAGAATGAGCCACTAACAGGGCTGAGCCAGGTGCGAGGTGCCCCTCCCCAGGGCTGCAGGGCCGCGCCCTGACCTGGACCTGAGCCCGGACCCTGACCCAGAACCTGACCCTGACCTAAGAACCAGGCTTCTCTTACCAGGTTGTGGCTCTTGGCAGAAATGATTTTTGTGGCCTTGGGGTTCCAAATAACCAGGTCGGCATCAGAGCCCACTGCCACTCGCCCCTTCCTTGGGTACACGTTGAAGATTTTGGCTGCATTTGTACTGGTCACAGCCACAAACTCGTTCTCGTCCATCTTCCCTGAGGCCTGGGAAGCAAGAGAGCCAAGTTTGGGGGTGGGAGGGGAGTCCAGGCTCCGGGCCCGTGTGGACAGTGCCCCCCATCCCTCAGGCCGCAAGTGGTGTCCATAGAGTGTGGACCCTGGGTCGCTCTCTGGCTGTGCACGAACACCACACTTGCTGTGAGTCAATCAATGAAGATTTGACAATGTCTGTGTCCCCTGAAGGATGGGACACTGCCCCCCGGATGACTGGGTGACCTGGGGAAGCAGGGCCTCTGCCCAGGGAGGGGTCGGGGCTGGAGTTTGGGGGTGCAGGCAGTCTGAGGAAATCTGAGGTGTTTGGGGGAGACTACTAGCAGCACAGAGTGCCATCCCATAGGACACAAGGAACCCCTCTCCCGGATGCTTTCTGTGGGTGACAGGAATCCAGGGGAGGACCTGGCTAGCCCACAGAGCTGGAGGTCTCCTCCAGGGGGGCCAGAACCAAACGCCCGGCGAGCCCACAAGCCCTGCCCCCCTTCCATGTGGAGTGCTTAGTAGTCCGTGGCCTCCCTTCCGAGTAAACTGTGTGTGGCCCAGCCCCTGGCCCCCAATCCACTCACCACACATTTCTCCCAGACCACAGACATGCGCTCCTCGATGCCGTTGGTGCCCTCAGGGATGAGTGTGAAGTTGTCTTTGCCGACAGCCTTCTGGGCAGTGGTGAAGGTGCAGTGGGCACTGCCGGTCACCTGGAGGTCCCCACTGAGAAAAGTTGGGGTCAAGGGAGCCCACAGTGGCCCAATTGTGAGCCAGCAAAGGCCACCATCAGCTCTGTCCCCCTCCCCAGCCAGCACAGCCATGGGGGCTGGAGGGTATCCAGGAGAGCTGGGCAACACTGCTGTCCCCATGTAGGGCACAGGAGGGCTGGGGTAGACCAGTGTGGGGCCTTGGCCTGGGATGTCCCGCTCAGTGTTTGTGCAGAAGCTGGAGCTGCCCGCGGGCTGAGGCCATGGGGGTTCTGGAGCTTGTGGGCAGGGCTGGGCCACCCTGGAGCAGGTCCCTACCTGGCCAGCAGGGAGGTGAGGTGGTCCGCGGTGCTGGGGTCTGGGTTGATTGGGGGCGATGTGACGAAGGCTGCGGACTTTGCCCAGTTCTTGCTCCAGTAGTGCGAGCCACTAGTGCCCAGGCTCGCAGTGATGGGCTCCCCGAACACGACCACCCCTGCCGTGAGACCCATGACAGGCACCCCAACCGGCCTGCATGCCCCCCAGGACCCGGGCAGGGTGGGGAGCCTGGCCCTGTGCTGTTGATTTCCCCTGACTGCCCCTCAATTTCCCGATGCTGGACAGCTTCCCACACCGGGGGTGGGGGCCTTGCTGGACCCGCTACCCCACACCACCTGCTGGGGCTCAGGCCTGTTGGGGAAGCAGCAAGGCCACGGTCACGGTGAGACATGATCAGCTGTGCCTGCCCCCGCCTGAGGCCTCTCCCTGTGGACCTTAGTTCTTCTCTGTACCCCGGACTCCTCCAGCCACGGGGTGCTCTGGGGGTAGACCCCAACCCGCAGGCTGTGCACCCCAGTGAACAGTGATGTGGGGCTCCTGCAGGGCCAAGGGGGCCAAGTTCCATCACACATAGAATCAGGAGCTCTACGTCACCCACGCACATGCCACATGCCCGCACGTCACACATATACACACGTGTCCAGCTCTGTCACTTCTGGGCAAATGGTGCCAACGGGGGAGCAGCTGCTACCCCAAGAAGACAGGAGACGGGGCCCCACTTGAGGTGGGACTGGGCGCCTGCATCTCCATGGGCCACAGACCCGAGCCCCCCCCCCCCCGCCCAACAAGAGGCCAGGCGGGGCAGCCCCGGCTTCTTGGACCTGTCTGCTCTCAGCCTCTGGGTAGCCAGCCGAGTGCTCTGTCCTGAGAATGTGACCCCTGACCCCCAGAGAGCTCCATGCAGGAGTGTGTGGGGACCTGGGCCTGGCACTCACCCCTGAGCTTGGCTTGGGCAATCACGTCAGCCGCACCCTTGCTCATCACTTTGGTGACATACAGGGGGCAGTTGGCCTGCTTGGCAATAGTGACGGCACGGTACACAGCCTCAGCCTCCACCTGGGGAAGACGGGGGGCGCTCAGGCCGCCGGGCCAGGGCCCTGAGGCCTCCTTCTGACCATCACCCAGGGATCCTGGGCCCAGAGGGGGCACCGTGTGTGGCTGAGGACCCCGCCTGTGGCTTAGTGCCCAGGATCTGGGTTGACCCGTGCAGTACCAGAGCCTGTCCCCACCGCCTTCTTGGCCTTTGGGAAAGACCAGTGGCCACCAGTGGTCATGAGCCCGGGGGGGAGGGCCCATTGATTCACAGCCCCCAGAGGGGGACATGTGCGTCACCACCTTGCCCTGCCGTGGGGTCAGGGCCGACACCAGGCAGAGGTGATCAGCAGTGCAGTCAGTGCTGAGGTAGCCCTTAGCAAACTCCTACCTCCTCGGGGCGGCTGAGCACGTGGCCCTCAGGGCCGGTGATGCCGAGCTCCAGCAACCGTTTCTGCTCCTAAATAAACGGACAGGACACCACACTCCAGCCCAGGGGTAGCCGGAGACCCGCAGAACCCCCTCTGGGTGATACCCAGGAGACCTCGCCCCCGAGAGGAGCCCCGGCCCCCACATCTCACATGAGCCCCGTCCCCACATCTCACCAGCGCCTGCCCCCACATCTCCGGTGAACCCTGACCCTCCACATCTCACATGAACCCTGACCCCCCACATCTCACGTGAACCCTGACCCCCCACATCTCACGTGAACCCTGACCCCCCACATCTCACATGAGCCCCATCCCCACATCTCACCAGCGCCTGCCCCCACATCTCACGTGAACACTGACCCCCCACATCTCACATGAGCCCTGCTCCCCTAAACCAAGACCTGGGCTGCCAGGCCCCCCAGAATCACAGGCTGCGGAGATCTCAGAATGGAGGAGGAGGGTGGGTCTGGAAAGGAGTGACCCCAGCTCCCTAAGTTACAGATGAGGTACAGGGCTTGGAGAGCGCACTCTGCCTGCTGTACTGGTTTCGCTGGTGGGGGCAGGCCCACGGGCATGCTGGGAGCCCTGCCATTGGGGTGGACAGACCACATCTCCCCCAAGCTTGCCCTTGAAGATCTGTGCCTGAGCAGCCTCTTGCGTAAACGGAGATGGGGATGCCAGGCTCCACCATGGAGAATGCAGGAGAAGCAGAAGCCCATGGACCCAATAATGAGACTTGCTAACATTGTGGGGTGTCTCCCAGGCAGGCTGTGCCCACCCACCTGTGCACTGAGCTGACCCACAATGTTCTCCTAACCACGCCGCCGGGCCTGGCCTTGGACCAGAGGGGCACACGTAGCACACGATGCCCTCATGGAGGGGCGGGTGGACCAGTTATCTGGGAACCCCATGTGCCCCTTCACAGGGCTCACTGCCTTTGAGCTTGGGATGGGCTGAGCCCGACCTGCCAGGAAATTTCTCTGCGGGTCTAGATGCCAGGGGGTTGTGCAGAGTATGGCCCTGTGAGGAGCCCCCAGGGACCCCAAAGTGCCTGCACCTGGGGGCACCCATCCCACAGCCCGGGGCTTGAGGGGCAAGCATGGGACCAGACCCTGTACTCACTGGTCAGAAGGAAAAGGACCAGCTCCCGGGGCGGCCTCAATCCACGGGGGCAGAAAGCACTAGGAAACCCCATCTCAGTCCCCCCAAAAGTTCTGGGGAACTTCTGATAAGTGTGATAATAGAAAAATCTGTGCTACAGCCAAAAGCCCCCCAGGCTCCCCCAACTCCTTGCTTGCTTGTGGGATGACGTGCTCAGTGTGCGCGTCTAGGAGCCACCCCTGCCCCTCACCACCCCACGGGCAGCCCGCTCCACACCTCCTGCACGATGTCCCCGTTCTCTGCGTGCACTTGAGCTAGCGCACCCAGGTCCCGGATGATGCTGAAAATCTCGTACATCTGGGAAGAGAGCAGACAAGGCGTGTGGGTTGGGCTGTGCCATCCTGCCGGACGTCTGAAACACCCGCTCTGCCCTCCTCTTAACACCTGCCTCACCTGGCCGTCTGTGCACTGGCACCTGTCCTTGTACGCCATGAAGACCAGGAAGGAGTTCACACCTGCAGGAGAGGCAAGAGGAGATTGGACGCTCAGCTGCTGGCGGTCAGATGCCCGGGGGCCTCCACTGCTCCCCGATCTCCTCCCACGGAAGCCTCGTCCTAACTAACGCGTCAGCTCCGCCACGGAACTCTCGTGCGGTTTCAGCTGCAGAAATTTTGGTTAGAAGAGATTGAGCCTTGTTTACCGACTGGCTTGTTCGAGCACAGGCGGCGAGAACGGGGTTTGAAAGTGTTCTGCTCCTAGGAAGACCTCAGACGCTACGGAAATGTGTAGCCCTTGTCCCAGGGCAGAGGCCAGACAGCTAAGGACAATTACAGCGCAGAGGCAGGTGACCTCCTCGTCTGGGTCCTCTGGAAGTAGAACAGACCTTCGATCTGTTCAACTTCTCCCCAAATCCCAACTCCCCCAAGCCCGGGGTCAGGCAGAAGCAGAGCCCAGCCTGGCCAGCGGCCCAGGGGAAGTGCACCTTCCCAGCCAGGAGCAGGGAGGCCCAAACTCCCATGCTCGCCTCGGGCGATGCCCTCACCTTTGTCCTTGACCAGGGCCTCCAGCTCCTCCCGGATGCTCTCATGCCAGCGGGGGATGTCCACGTGCAGAGAGTAGTCACAGCAGGCTCTGCCGTCCGCACGCTCCCGCCACTGCTCATAGGCCGTCAGCAGGCTCACACCCGCGTCGGGGAACACGTGGTCCACTGAGGGGGGCAGTGCGGTCAGCCGAGCCCCCACTCTGGTCCCTGGGAACCACCCTGGCCTCCAGGGGAGCCTGGTTTCATGTTCCCAAGAGACCAGGAAGTGCATCTGGGCCATGGCCCCCTTCCGTGGGGCTGGAGCCCCTATGAGCCTGCCCACTGGTTCTGTCTGAAAAGGCATCCCCTGGCTTTTCTCTGAGCAGAGAGAGGCCAGATTCAGGCCCCACTACTCGCTGATGGACACCCCAAGGACCACCGGTGGCAGTTAAGAGGCTTAACCTCCCACACAGGTGTCTACCTGAGTGGGGCCCAGCTGGAGGGCGGGAGGAGAGCGAGGTGGGGGGCGGGGGGCAGGCGAGGGCACTGTCCATGGTGCCGGACATGGCCCACCTGCCCCGAGCAGTGGCAGGAGGCTGGTCTCCCTCCCTTGTTTGCATCTCACTGACTATACACACCTCCAACAGCGCCACCCCACCCCCGGGGAGACCAAGAGTGCAGGACCACTGCGCTGCCACTTCCCTACCCAGGCTCAGGTCCAAGGTCCAAGCACTGCTCACAGCCTCTCCTGAGCGCAGGGAAAGGGCTCAGAGGAGGGGTGGCCAGCAAGAAGGCACGCCCACCCAAGGGTTACTGGCCAATGCTGTGCCTTCCTCCAGTGCACCCCTCATGGGACCCCCACCCTACAGTCCCTCTGCAGCTCAAGCCCGGGGCTGGCAGGCTGAGGAAGACACAGCTCGACAGAGGCCAGCGGGGCTTGGCCTCATGGTGACACCTCATGGCTTGTCTGATGCCTCAGCACGGGCACGAACCGGTGACAAACACGAAGCTGTCCTGGCTGGCCGTGGCCACCGGTGACAAGGGTGAGCCATGGCCAAAAATGGCCATTCTCCCCAGTCAAACTAAAATGTGGATCATTGTTGGCCGGTTTATTGTTTTGTTTTGTTTTGTTTTTTTGCCGCGTGGTTGAGTAAACCAAACCAACCCATGATTCTGGCAAGGGCCAAACACCGCTTGTGCAGTAGCCCAGAGTCCTCAGAGCAGCCTTTCTGGTGACAGCAGTGACAGCAATGACAGCTGCGCCAGGCACAGCAGAGCTGCTCGAGGGCACAAGCCCACCCTCACCCCCTTCTAAGGAGGGTCCTCCTCCTCCTCCCGCTCAGGTTTGCCAAGTGTGACTTCTAAAAGTTAGCAGAGTCCCCTGCAGCCAGACAGCTGGGACGCAGGGCAGCCTGGCTTCAGCCAGCTGGGTTGGGCCAGGGTTAAGCCCGGCAGGGATGCTGCACTCACACCGGAGGGCTGTTGGCGTTCAAGGCCACCAGAGGAGGGGCTGGGTCTTGCCCGGGCTCTGAGCTCCTCCCAGTCAAGTTCGCCATAGGCACCTTGCAAGCTGTTAGGTGGGGCTTCTCCCCTGAGCTCCCGTGGGGTACGAGCTGCTGCCCGGCACAGAGCCAGCACGAAATAGCGGGCAAGGATCTCTGCCATTCTGTCCCTGGACACACAGCCTCCTTCCTGACACAGGCAGGGATTTCACTCAAACCAAGCTTAGGAGGCCTGGGCTTGTGTCGGTTTCAGACAACACGACCCCTCCATGTCCAGAAGGCATTTCGGTTTTGAAAACCTAGTCCCTGGCCAGCTGCCAGCTTCCCAAGAAATAATGAATTCCTGGGCGCGCATCGGTTTGCTCCCGTGGAAACCCCAGACGCGTCCCAGAGCTGCCAAGGCAAGATGACTCACGATGCAAATGGGGATAACAAAGGAATATGCAAGGCTTTCCTAGACTGAACAGTAAATAAAGGGAAACAGACCCCAAGAAATGCCTATTGTAAGGCTCTTCCCACAACACATGAGCTTGGCCAGGGAAACAAGGCGTGGGACGGGTCCCCCCCACCACGGGGAGACACTCACAGATCATGGTGGTCCCTCCTGCTAGGGCGGCCTTGGTCCCCTGGCAGAAGTCGTCCGCTGGGGTCATGCCCAGGACAGGCATCTGCAGCCTCGTGTGGACGTCAACACCGCCGGGCAGGACCAGCAGGCCGTGTGCATCGATGGTTTTGATGCCTCCGGGGACAATGAGGTTTTCTCCGATTTGTCTGAAAGCAACACAGATTTCACTGGTTCCAAAGAGCCTGGATCAGAGCACAAACTGAAGCAGGGAAGCTTCCGCTCGGGCTCCTGGAGGAAAAGGGCAACAGGGCCAGGACTTCCCCGGCCTGACCCCTGGGGACATCGGAGAGCGCCACAGCCCCGCCAGGGGCTCGAGACGGTCACACATAGGGTCCAGCCTGGGCCCGCGTGACTGCCCTTGGGACGTCCGCGGGCCTTCCACGTGCCGCTGTACGGCCTGGTGGCTGGAGCCGCGCACGACTCCGGCAGAGCTAACAGGTGCGGTCAGTAAGTGCTTCCTGAGCCCTGCCGTGAGCCCTGCGTCATCCTAACGCTGTGGTAACAGGAATGAGTGAACGTCCTGCTTCCCAAACCGTGCCACTAACTGCCGAGATTTTCCATCACTCAGGGCCTGGGCGAGAGCCGGGTTTGGGAAAAGGAAAAAAAAGAAATTTAGGTGGCGTTCACGCGAAAGTAAACTTGTGGATAATCTGTGATCCGTGTGTCCACATGTGATCTGTGAAGATATGGGAGGCACGAACTCACTTTATCACGCCATCTTCCACATACAGATCCGCGTAGAAGGACTGGTCATCATTGACGACCTTCCCACCCTTGATCAAAAGGCGGTCGCTCTGTCGGAAACAAAGAAAGATGGGTCAGTTTTCTTCACACCCAGTTTTCAACGTGGTCCCATAACTTCCCACCCTGGGATTATGCTCGAACCCCTCGGCCGTGATGTGTGTGCCCCGAAGCAGACACAGAAGCCAGCGCGGCCCACCACCTCCAGGGACGGAGCAGAGATGCGCGGCGGCAGGACGGCTCGACGGCGGCTCCCACGGGCCCCAAGTAGGTCCCACACCCGCAGGACAGCTGTGTGGCCTCGCCAAAGGCACAGCGACCCGCGGGGGCCAAGGCGGGGGTGAAGGCGTAGCAGTGAAATGCATTACATTTAAATGGCTACCACCTAATTCTTAGCACTCGGGCTCAGATCAGAGGGGGACAAAGTCACATGGTCCCATGGAGGATTGGCTCCCCCCAGGGCTCCTGGATGGCAGCTGGGTCCGGATCATACCAGCATGGTATGGCCTATCGTGGGGCCAAACATGGGGGTTAGAGCAGCTCCCCAGCAGGCAGGGTCCCCGCCCTGGTGGGGGACTGGCTCCCACCGCAGGGAGAAAGACAAGGATGAGAAATGACACAAGGCCATCGCAGACAAAGCAAGAACACAGAGGCTGGTGTCACAGCGCAAAGGGAGAGGCAGCAGGGCTGCTTCAGGGACAGAGAAGGGCCTACTAGAGGGGCTGGCTGCATGTGAAATGGCCAGGGGCAGGGTTCCAGGCCAGGGGACAGCCCCTGCAAGAGCCCTCAGGCAGGAACAAGCTTGCGTCGATACCGGACACGAGATGCCAGAACATTCTGCATGGAAGGGTGAGGGGCTGGGAGCCTGGTGCAGGTGGGACATGCTGGGCTTGGGGTGTCAGTGGGCCCCCTGTGGGGAGGGCTTGAAGCAGGGGTTTGAGCATGGTTTGGTGAATCACACTGATTCTGTGTGAAAGTAGAATGTGCTGTTTGAGGAAGGAAACGGGCCATAGCCTGCAGCCATGTGAGCCTGCGCAGGTGAGGTGGGGGGCCTTGGGCCAGAATCCTGGGGCCGAGCCGAGATGGAGTCGAGAGAGGCTGGGAGACGGGGAGGCAGGAGCGGCTGATGGAGAGGCCGTGGGGTTGAAGAGCCAGGTCAAGACCACAGGGTCGTGGTGCTGCCTGGACGTATCCCACGCGGGGGAACAGAGTGCCAGCAAGCGAGGGCAGCGGTCGGTGGGTCACTGGCACGGCCTGGAGCTGGGGCACGGGGTGGGGGTGGATCCAGGGTGCGGCAGCAGTAAACCCACTTCAAAGAACCCGCTAAATGGTGGGGAAGGAGTGGAGAGGAGCAGAAAGCGGGGCCATGCGTGGAACGTTGCATGGTTGTCAGGGGTGACGGTCGGACCTCAGCAGAGCAGTGTGGGCAGCAGCACAGGACGCGAGCAGAGGCCCGGAGTGCAGAGCGCTGCGGGTGAGAAGCCGGCTCCGCAGCCCTTCCTCTGCCCCCCGTGGGCACCTCTGCGCTCCCTCTGACATGACCGGGCAGGGACGCCGGGCGGACCTCACAGGGAGCTGGGCCTTCTGCTGGGGCTTCCACGAGTCCACACCGAGGCCAGGCCAGGGCTCCAGCCTGAGGTCAGTGGCTCTTCACGCACCATTGGCCGATGCCACGGAGCCAAGCTGTGCGGTGCCGCCCGCAGGAACCCCGCGGGACGGCTAAAGCGCCACAAAGCCCACGCCGTGGGAGCCTTACTGCGTTATCTTCCCATCTTCTTAATTTCCGTTCGGACCACGTTCTCAGGATTCTAGTCACTAGGAAAACCACCACCCTCTATCCACACAACAGCTGACACACTGCCACAGGCCACAGGCAGCCCCAAATAAGCCCAAGGAAACCCAGGAAGGGAAGGCTTTGGGCAGAAGAGACCTGTGGGCTGTGTCTCCCACTGTCCCCCAGTTAGGAAGAGACTTGTGGTCACTACACTTCAATACCCCTCCCCTTTCAGGCACCTGAACTCAGTTTGGAAACCATCCTGGGTCTGGAACCAAGAGGGAAGGCCGCTGGGACACAGTGCGATGCCCACTGGGAGGAGGGTGGGAGTGACCCTAAACAAGATGCCTTACGTCTGTCCCACCCGATGGCAGCCCAGAGCGGGCCACTTGGCAGGCTTCCCACATCAGCCGCATCCTGAGCCAGTCTGCAGACAGGACCTCCTCCTGCACGGGAAGGACAGGGGCTCCTTCCTCCTTGAGCATCTCAGGAAGTGAACCAGGGAACCCCTCCAACGTCAGGTGAGGTCAACTCCAGAATCGGTCTCAGCCCCAGCAGAGACCCCTGGCCCCGTCCAGCTGGCGCAGGGGTGCCTCCCCCCGCAAGGGGCGGCTTTGTTTTCTGGCAGCGCGGGGTGGACCGTCTGACCTCCCGCATCCCTGCATGTGGTTGTTGAAGGGGGGTCTCTCCTTCCCTGCTGGGGCTGCCAGGGTGCTTGCTCAGCCGCGACCTGTGAGCGCTGGTCTCCCCTGGAGTCTTCGAGCCCCGGCTCGGTGGAGGGGTCCGGGCCTCCAGGGGCTCCAGGCTGAGCCGCGGGGGCTGAGTCGCTTTGTCTCGGACAAAGAGCTCCCCGCGCGCGGAGGCGCGGTCCGGAGCTAGCCAGCAGCGCCGCGTGGGGAACAGCATCCTCCCCCCCCAGGCCTGGCTGGCGGTGCCAACAAAAGGCCACGTCCGCCCGCCGAGCCCCGGACAGAACCCGGAGACTGAGTTCGCCGGCTTCCGCGCCCATCCAGCGCGGGGAGGGAGGGCACCCCTGCGCTTTGGGGAGCAGGCCTTTCCGGGCCGCGGGCCCTCCCTGGGCGCACAGGCGGTCCCGGGAAGCCGGCATGGCTCGGGACCTGTGCGTCTGGCTCTGGAAAGGGGCCCAGGGAGGCGCTCGCGGAAACCCCGGCCAACGGCGGCCGGCGCGGGAAGGAACCCTGCGGGAAGGGCCAGCGCCGGGACAGGAGCACGCACGGCGGCTAGACCCAGAGGGCAGAGCGCTAGGCGCAGAGCCGGGACGGTCCACCCGGGAGGGGGGCAGGGCGAGGGGTGAAGGGGGGCCCGGTGCAGGCTCACCGTGATCCGGGGGACGCTCTTCTTGCCCTGGAAGGACATCCTGCTCCTCCGGCGGGCGCGGCCGCCTGGCTGGGCCCGCGTGGCCTAGCTGGAGAGGAGCGGGCCTGGGGGTCCCGGGCGGGGGCGCGCAGAGCCCGGGCGTGTACGTGGGGGCGCGGGGCGTCCGAGTGCGAGCACGCCAGGCCGCGCGGCTCCGGTTCCGAGCCCCGCCCCCGGGCCCGCCCCGCCCCCCGCCTGCCGCTGCTCCTTTGCGTTCGAGCCCCGCCCCAGCCGCTCAGTACCCACCGGCTCCCGCGCCCCAGCCACTGCGGTGGCCACCGGCCGGATCTCTGTGCCCCCGGCCCCACACGGTCACGCGGACACCTGCTGCGTGGGGAGGGGGAGAGAACGGGTACAGGTCCTGGCCGCTGTGTGCGCGGCCAGGAAGGAGGGTGGGGAGGGTGGGGAGGGTGGGGAGGGTGGGGAGGTCCCCGCAAAGTCCTGCCAGGCCCTGCCCTCGCTCCTGCCCAACCCGGGGACCACCGCCAGCGCCCTGGTGACCGGAAGCACCCGAGGCCGCCGGACTGAATTTAGGCTCAAGTCCAGGCCCAGGCGTTGCGGAAGCCGGGCTCTCTCCGGGACCGGGCCTCTGGCCCAAGCCTCGCTCCTTTGCATCTATGCCCCGGGCCCGGATCGGACGCAGGGCAGTGTACTGGCTCTGGGACCTGGCGGTGGACGTATTTCTCCTCAAGGCTGCTCTCCCACGGCTGCGCGGAGCTTAGGGACAAGGGGACACGTTGGGGAGACACAGAGATAGAAAGGGATAGAGAGAGAAAGAGACAGCGGCCCAGCGCCCCTGACGGACCAGAGATCCAGAACCAAGAGAAGAGGCCGACAGCGCGGGACAGCTTAGTCCCGGGGACAGACGCGGCCAGCCGGGTTGAGGGAGGCCTCGCTTTCATCCCTCACAGCTCGGGGAGCCTGCGGATTTGGGAAGAAGACCAGCCCCCAGCCCACGCCCCCGCGGCCTCTGTCCTGCGGCTACTACCTGCGTGGGGCCGTGGCCCTGCGTCACACCGGCCGCTCTCCCAGACTTTCCGGAGCCCCGGGGCCATCGCCGTCTGGCTCCCCGGTTCCCTCTGGGTCTGTAAGCCCGCTCTAAGGCTCTCCAGCCTGAAGGCTCCAGCGGCCGGCGCCCGGCACGTCCAGCTGCAGTGTCTTGTTCTCCAAGGCTGCCTCCACACAGTGGAAAACGCTGCGGAGCTTGGGCCTGGCCAGGGGGCTGCCTGTGCCCAGCGTTCCCAGGCCGAAGGGCAGAGGCTTCCCGGGCTCCTGCGGCTGGCATGCAGCCATGGCGGGTGCCGGTGAGGGGCCACAGGTCCCCCAGCCTCCTGTGACAGGTGTGTTCGCTGCGTGTGGACCGGGCCAACCGGGGCCTGGCTCTCCACGCCCCGCCCCATTGTCCGCCCTCCTGCCCGCCCCCCTGCCGACTGGCCATTAGGGGCTGGCGCTGTCTGCGCAGGGAGTGCTGAACGCGCTGGGCTGGATCAGGGGCGCGCATTTGGTCCTGGCGAAGCGCATGGGTTCTCACCTCCCGCTGAAGCGCAGGCCGCCGGCCAGAGGCACGCACTGAAGAAATCACTGTCTATGGGAACTCCAGCCACATTTCCTGGTCCCCTGGGAGGTCCCCCACCCGGCAAGGAGGCTAACTCCAAACATTTGGCAAGTGGTGGTGGTGGGGCTGTGATGCACCCCGGAGAGCGCCTCCTGATTGCCCTGAAAGCCTTTGGGGTGAGACATGGCAGAGCGACTCAGCCTGCCCAGGGTCATAGGACGAGGCTGTCCATCTGTCAAGCCCTGTACAGAATGACTTTTAAGGAAAAGACATCCCAGCCTCTGCTCTGTTAAGTCAGCAGCATTTCAAAATGTCAGTTTGGGCAACGAGAGGGCTCTTGTCCTGGGGTAGCAGGAGCATTTCTGCAGAGCCAAATCAGTGACTGCCCCACGTCTGGTTTCCACTGCCCGCAGCAGATGGATAAAACAGCCTCTACTTACCGGTGTGAAGTCGGTGCAAGTGAGATCTTGTGCCCAGGGTTCTTAGTCAGTCACAGAAATTCTTCTACTTTTCTAAACTTAAATTCTCTCCTCTGGTTCTCACTTGATAAACAGCTACAGGAGGAAGCATGCCTGGTGGCTGCCAGCACCTGGGACTTCAGAGCCTGTCTTGCAGGTGATTTTCCGTGAGGCAGGATGAGGCTGCAGAAAAGAAGCCTGGCTCCCCTCCCCAGCACGCAGGAGGCCCAGTTCCCCTTCTGGTGTGGAACGTGGCCCACCTGGCCACTATGCCCAGACTTTTAATGCTTCAGGAAGAGGGGAAGTTTGATCTTCTAAGATTTAAAACCTTTTTTATTAAAACTGTACCATAATTTACAAATGAGTAAAAATCCTCTGGTATATATCATAGGAATCACAATACAAAAATATGTGCAAAATTTTGTAGTTGACCACCATACAAACCTATTTTAGGCCTGTGAATACTGTTTAGCACTGAACAGAATATCACGTTTAGAATGTGGTTGGTAAGGACCTGCTTCAGGGAACAGAGACACTGGCTGGCGTACTGCCATGGTAAAACGAGTCCTAATTCATGGTTGCATAAATTTACAATAAAGCTCTTTAAAATACAGTAAACAAATATATGATTTGATACATATATTTACAACTTGGTTTTCCTGAGCCTAAATGTAAATCCATTACTGTGTTAAAACACACAATCCATCTTAAGGTTTCAGTGATGGGGTGATGGTCCATGTGGATTGACGTCACACTGCCGCCAAACCCACTCTGGCACACGCTCCTTCCCGACGTCCGGTGTGGTGTTGCCAAGCCGTGTAAGGCACGCGGGGTGTCCTGAAGGCTACGGGTTCTGCAAGAGCTGAGCACTTTAAGGAAGAGCCGCCGTCCTTCAGCAGCTGGGACTCCAGGCCGTGGACACGTGGAAACGAGGTGCACACACCCGCATATCCGTGTCAGCCAGGGACCACAACTTCCGTGGATTTCTGGTGCAGAGAAATGAAAACATCTGTGTTGTTCTGGGCGTCGTGGGCACAGTGTGATTGTGCGGATAACGCAGCTCTGCTTCTTGGCTCCACAACAAGCATTTCTGGCAACTTCTGGTCCATTCTCTTGTTCTGTGAGAGAGTGTGGTACTGACACGCAGATGTCCCATTTGAGGACTTTGCACTAACGAGCCCAGATACCTTCAGGAAATTCAGCGCAGCCCACTGCTTTATATACTCCAGGATTGAGAAGAGCGCGTCACGTAGGACACCTGAGTTCTTCAGCTGCCCACCGGACTAGCAGGAATCAGTGACAAATCCTCCTATCCTCTTTTTGCTTGCTTGCTTGGTTTTCTGTTTTTGCTTTTTTTGCAAAAGCCCAGCCCCAAATTGCTGGATTTGGTGATTGGATGAAGAGAAGATGCCTGGGATACATGAATAGAAGCCGTGATCTCTATGGACAAGAGCTGACATCGCAGCTCCAGCGGCCTCCAGGAACGTGGCAAGGGGACAGACACGGTTTGGTGCACGGACTATTACTTAAAACACTCACTGAGCCATTTTCACTATGCACTTTTACATTTAGACAACGACTTGGTAAGCACTGGTCCAGATCTCCACGCTTCTCTGTCCCGCCTTTTCAAATTACAGAACCATGAGGAGACTGCCGTGTGCGTGGACGGCCTAGGACGTGCTCCAGACAGTTGTACAACGTGCAAAATCATGATGATCCAAATGAACACGGGAAATGTGGGTTTGGGTTTTGAATGCACATCGTTAGTTCCCGAATGGCCAGCCCGCTCGGTGGCTGATCGGGCGGTGGCCTGAGCCTCACCGCCCGGAGTTTCCGGACGCCTGCATCCCATGCTCCAGCCAGCCCCAGCCTGGGCGTCCCCACAGCTGCGCGACAGCTTTATGAGCTCGACTACTGTTTGCCATTCGGTTCTGATCTGAGCACGACGTGTGACAAGAGGATGGAGTCACTGGGATGAGACAGAGCCACGCACAGAGGACGGAGCAAGATTCCCGACATGGTCTGCAGAGCCCTGCGGCGGGCGCAGGGGCGACGGACTCACCTGTACCTTGCCCAGTGCGTGCATAACCGTGGCTCTCATGACCACAGAAAGGACAGGTCCTTCCCGGGCGAGTGTGGGTTAACGATGCAGCAGTGCACTGGCCAGCGGAAATCCCGCGCCCGCTGAAGAGAAGCCTGTCTGCCAGATCTTGTCAGCTCTCCCCGATTTCAGCCTGGGGCATCAGCCTGGCCTGGCACCAGCCGTGTGCACCAGAACTAAGCGTGTCTTCCGAAGCACATAGAAAATGAGCCTGACGCTTGCAGACGCGGTCACCCATCCCTCCGGCCCCTCAGAAATGCGGTTAGCTTTCCTTTCATGCCCTTTGTTTGTTACACTCTCACCTGGCTGCGGGTGTCACCACACAGCTCGTCAACCTCCAGGGGCCCCAAAGGAGCTCAGATGTTGTCTCCTGCTTGAGCACGCACGACTGCATACACGGAGACTCCTGCACAGGCACGCGCACGCGCACACACTCACACACCTGGCACCCCCGAAAGTGTGGCGTCGATGGAAGAGCCACTTCCCACCCGGAAGTCAGGCTGTGTCCGGAAGACGTTCCCGGGCTGTGGGCCAGGGCACTTGGCAGGAAGGGAAGTCGGGCTCAATGCGGGCTTCACGGATGGGCTGTGCCCTCCCTGCAAAAGAGGGAAGACAAAAGCTTTATTCCAGTGGGAGCCACCGAGGCCCTGTGAGGCAAGGCTCCCAGCGGGGAAGGTCTGGAGAGATGCCCCGGGCAAAGGCGCTGATAGAGCATGGGCTCTGCATGTGGCCGGATTCGAGGCTCCAGCAGCAGCTCCTGCTCCTCGGAGAGCCACAAAGATGAGTGAGGAGGTGGCCTCGGGGCTCCCTTGCCACGCCTGGCACAGCCGTCGGTCCAAATACCCAATGTCCACGACCTCTCACTGCGCACGCGGCGGGCCACTGCTAGGCTCCCAATCTTACTACCTTTCACACCTTTACAGTTTAGAATAAGTCGTGAAGGAGCTGTTGGGGCTCCTCCACCCAAAGATGGGGTGCCCTGGGGGCAGGGGCGCCCAGGGCAGGACCCCTGGGCT